TGGATGTAAAGCTCTTTGTGCATGTTCTAATTTAAAGATATATAAACGGTCCAAAAAAATCTTGTAGTAGAGTTGAATATGACAAGAGTAATGTTATTTATTATTAATGATGTTAAGCTTATCTTTATTATATTTTTGTGTTGCAGTGGGGTCACTGTTACATTTTCTAATAAACTAATATTAAGGCTAAATAACATTATTAATGGCGTAAAAGGTTCGATAGATTTTTGTACAAGAAAGTGACACTATATCATATATTCAATTAAATGTGAAATTATGTGACAATTCAGTTAGACCTCTTATTCAATATCACTAGTGTCATCTAAACTCGTACTGACATATCAATGATGTTAAATAATATTATTCAACACTATTGGTCTAGCTTATTGTGTCACTAACAAGTTGAGCTCCGTCTCCAAATTATAAAAATCGTTTGAATATTTGTCAAATTATGAAAAGGGTTATACTTGGTATACATAGGAGTATCCACACCCCTCACATGTGGTGAGACTCGCGCGAGGTGGACCCCATCCCATGTGAAGGATGTTGACACCCCTATATACATATTTTATGTACATCAGGACTTATCATTATGAACACAAAATTGAGTCGAAAAAGATACATTAATTAAAAGTTAAAATGTCATTATATATAAGCCTAACTAAAATAGTGTAAAATTGATTCAGTCCATCACGGCCAACTAATCACCTAGACCCTATATGCCGTCCTCTACATTTTCCTTCAGTATTCAATTCAATATTTCATGATTAAAAGTTCAAATAACAATACTTTAATCCATTCCATGATCCAAAATTAGACATATAAACCGTTCTCAGCCCACGCTATAAAATCAGCACGTCAGACAATTTTCTTCACAATTAACAGTGATCCCGTGGATTTTTCTCCAAGTTTCGTATAAATTCTATCAAAATCTTCATATATTTCTGGTACAGTATGTTTTTTCTTGTTTGATTTCGTAATTCGTTGATATTGATTTTAGTTTTTTTGTTTCCACGATTGATGTTCTTACCTGATCAAGGAGATTTTTGAGAATTTACGATCAATGATCCAACAGTTGAATCAATGATTTTGCAATTATATAAACAGATGTATATATCTGCATCCAACGTTTATATTTATAATAGTGTATATTTGTATTGTATGCATCTATATATACGAGTTTGAGAATTCTTCCGAAGTTTGGGTTCGATCTCGTTAAAACTTTTTCTGAAAATTCTATGATTTTGCAGAAAGGGGAAATGCCGAACGAAATATACGAGGAAGCCATTGCAGGTCTGAACAAGCTTCTCAGGTAGTACTACATGCTTTCTGTGCTTTTTTATTTTTTATTTTTTTTCCTTTCTTACCCTTTATCTCTTCCTATTCTCACCACGTATATCATAATATCTTGTGAATTATTTTAAAAGGTTGTGTCCTTATTCGTCATTTCACTGTCCCAATGACCTCTCCGGATAATTAGTTCTATTAGATCATTTCAAACGTCAAAAATTTGTTTTTGTGCTGCTTACCCGATTGGTCCAATTAGTGGGTCCCATTTAATACAAATATGACGCGTCAGTGGGTCGCACGCGGAGTTCTAAATTCGGCGTATTTGTTTAACAATATTTTTCCCATTTTTTTCTCTATTGACTGCAGTGAGAAAGGCGGGCTGGAGGTGGCAGCCGCCGAGAAGATAAAGCAATTGACTGCGGAGTTGGGGGGTGCTGCCGGAAAAGGGTTCGACCCGATTGAGAGGATCCGAACTGGGTTTGAGATCTTTAAGAAAGAGAAATATGAGTAAGTACTCGTCATTACCTGAATAGAAGAATAATGAAAAAAGTTTTGTACTTTGTGAAAAGTGCTATTATACCTTGGTATTGGCATCAAAGTAGCCAGATTCTTGGATATGCTATTAACTATTATTTTTATTCCATCTTTTGCTAATCACATAATTACGCAACTATTCACTTGATCCATAACATTAGAAAATTTTTTGCTTCACTTTAAGGCACATGTATGGAAAGTGTTAAGTGATCGATTACCGAGTTATAGTTGTGAATATCTCAAAATATGTGAATAATATGTGATTTGATTGTTTAGGTTCTCATAATTCATAAACATGTGCTAAACATAGGCTCTATTTGGGAGTGATTTTTCATCCTAAAAAATTATTTTTTTGATCGTTATTTCATTATTTCAGTCGTAATTGTTGACTTTCTTTCTCATAGATGGCCCCTACTTTTCTTCTAACGATCAAAAAATTAATTCTCAAAATCACTACCGAACATGTCCTAGACTATATGTTAAATTCTTTTAGCAGTGTAGTGTATCAAATTTATATAGAAAGTTTATTTGGGGCTAGGTATGTATGGTCCCCAGTTAATTACTTGTCTTGATAGTCCCCAGTTAATTACTTGTCCTGATAGATACAAATTTTCAATATTTTTGACTCAATTATTTGTTCTCACTATCTCATATTTCAGCGTCAGGCATAATTATATAATTTAATGTGGAATAGAATATTGGGTCAAGTCATTGTGGATGTGTAGATCCAAGGTTTGAAATGGTCAACAAAGTATATGATTTTTAAGTGAAACATTTTATAATCAGTCTACATTTTCAAGAAGGAAAAATAACCACATTTTGCTTTGTATTTCTAGGAAGGATTCTGATTTGTACGAGAAACTTAAGACAGGTCAAAGCCCTAAGGTACATCATGTTATATAAACAATGCAAATGAGGGTGGAAATACGAAGAAAGATGATTTGAAAACTAATTCTCGCTGATTTACTCGCAGTTCTTGGTCTTCGCCTGCTCTGACTCCCGAGTATGTCCATCCCATATCCTTAACTTTCAACCTGGGGAGGCATTTATGGTCCGTAACATTGCCAACATGGTTCCACCATATGACCCGGTAACATTGACCCCTCATCATTGTTATGAGTTCCTACTCGTTTATTACTCATTATTGAACTCGATGATCAATATTTTAACTTTGTCGACCTTGCTAAACACATCCCTTTTGATTAAAAAAAAAAAAACCCTTAGGTTTTTCAATATATGGAGTAATAGTAGTATTTTTTTAATTATTTGACTTGATTTGTGGCAGTCGAAGTATTCTGGAGTGGGGGCAGCCATTGAATATGCAGTATTGCATCTGAAGGTGATTATAATAAGCCCTTCTTTTGGATTTGCATCTTTAATTTTACTTGTCAACTCAATTCTTTAGGAAAGGAGATTCCTTTCTTGTGGGAGAAGAACTGGTGGATCGTAACATGAGAAAACCAATTATTATTACCATATGCACCTTTATGTCACTTTCAATAGTGCAACTTTGCTACACGCCTACCTAGCATACACCTTTTTTTTTAGAAAATAAATTCTAATTATTAGTTAAGAAAGTCGATTTTCCAAAGTCAATTATCTTAAATGGAAGAGTTATCATTTGATTCAACAATGATATATATATATATATATTTATTTATTTATTTATTTATTATTTTTTTTCCATTTTAGAGTCATGCTTGGAATAATTCTACAACGTAAATATAACAATAGCGTCTGATATAACTTTGGTTTGAATAGAAATGAATTTTGATTTATAGTTGATAGGGATTTGTTTTCCTAAATCCTAAGACGTTTGGTCTTTTTTCCCCTTTCCCTACATGCATATGGATTAAATAATCAATCGCATTATAATTTGATATTCCTAAGATATGAACAATTTTAATATCGACAAAGTTCTTTTATTTTCTCTATTTGTCTCGGACTCATTTATGTGGGACGTCTAAATTATGTAAGGTGGAGAATATTCTGGTGATTGGACACAGCTGTTGTGGAGGTATAAAAGGACTGATGTCCATTCCAGATGATGGTACCACTCAAAGGTTTGTGTTTAATATTATGATTAAAAGTAGAAAAAAAAGGGTACTTTTTACTAATTTCCTTTTGGCACTGTTGAATTTATCTTTAATTATAGATGGGTGTACACAATCATTAACTTATAAGTTAAGATAGTGGGGCACAATGCTTTTTAAAAAGGATTTTGCCATTTGTACACACTTTTCATTCAATTGTACTGTTTGGCCAGCGTTAAATCCAATCCAAACAACTAGTGCCAATAGCTGCTTGGCTTGGATTTAACCCTAGTCAAACATGTTTTTCCCTTTCCATTACATCAAATTTGACACTGCCTTTATTTTAAAATGGTAGGCGAGAAAACTATTTCTTTTCTTTTTTCTATAAAAAAAAATTGACGAATTACTGTTTGTCATGTGGCAAACTTTCAAACTTGGTATGACATCGTTGTTTTGAAAACCTTTAAAGCTAGAAAATGTTGACTTTTATCGCTTCATTTATGTTAAAATTACAGATGCTTAAAAATGTTTTAACTCTTTATTTTTCGTCTGGAAGTAAATTATTTTGAGTGCTTTGTAGTTACTCATTCGTATGCATTTTGTTCATGATGCAGTGATTTCATTGAAGATTGGGTCAAAATTGGTAAGGCTGCCAAGGCTAAGGTGCAAGCAGAACGTGGCGATTTGGATTTCAATGCACAATGCGCGCACCTAGAGAAGGTAACTCGAAACTAAGCCATCTCATGACAGTAACTCAATTTCATGTTAAAAATAGGAAAATTACACTAGATTTCCCTAATATCGAATCACGGCCTAGCTGACTAGCTTATAATCTAAAATGCAATTATCCAAAACTTAACGAAAGAAATGAGTTAAGCTATATTTCATTTGATGTAACATACATGTACTTCGTAACTTCTATTTTATATTAAAAACTCACTAGTTAAAAATCGTCACTATTTACCCAATACATATTTTTTCATTAAATAAAAGTAGGATTCTATTGGTTAGTAGCATTTTATATATTTAGTGTGGATTATACTCATTACTCTATATTTTCTTATGCAACCAAACAGGAGGCTGTTAATATATCGCTTGGAAACTTATTAACGTACCAATTTGTGAGACAAGCAGTGGTGAACAAAACCCTTTCCTTGAAGGGCGGACATTATGATTTCGTGAAGGGTTCTTTCGAGCTTTGGAATCTCGACTATAACCTCTCGCCTTCTTCAATGGTATAAGTTTTACTGATCATATAGTTTAAAGGATCGATTTTCATATCTACAGTTTCTATGATGTATATGATGTCAAGAGCAACCTCTGTGACAAAAATAAGTTTCCTTAAACTTGTGCTGGTTTGAAATAGGCCACGTTGTTTACTTATAGTATTGTATATTTGTATCACACTTGTCTGTCTCTTGAGGTATTAACACCCAAGACAACATTTTCTTTCCACAGTATGAAAAATAAGCAATTAATTCCACTTTTCTTATATGAAGTTTTAGTGTTTGGATGTGAAGAATTAATGTTCCAAGTTTTCTTGACTGATTTGGAGATTCTTGATTATCACAGAAAAATTTCCAATGTGATTTCGACAACTTTGATTGTAAGATAGTATTGAAAATTAGACTCTCAAAGAAATTGATCAAATCACGTAGCCTTACCATTTCAATTCTCGATGGTTATTTTGATTTGATCATTATTTAAAAATTTGGAAATGTCGTTCATATCGTTTAGAAATTTAATATCCAAAAAAATGTGTAAGATTTAAAAGTTTATTACATTCATTAGTTGTTACCAAATAGCGCTATTTTGCAAATTTTACTTCTTTAATTAAACATTAAATCCTGGGGATTGGGCTATATGGGAGGAAAATTTACGTCAATTACAGTTTTGCCTTTTCCCTATAAAACATATCTTTTTATATCATTGAAAACAGAAGAATATGCATCGATCTATCAATTTAAATTCAAACATTGATTTGCACTCCACGTTCTTAGACATATTTAACAACCAAAATGAGAAAAATCTTATGGCCTGTTTGGTTTGTATTTCGATTTACAATTTTGAGTTTTGAGTTCATTTTCCTTTTTTTTCTTTTTTTATGAGGGTTTGTTTTTAGAATTTTAAAAATGCATTTGATTTGTCATTTTGAAAATTTATTTCTCAAAACAGAAAACTAGAAAACAGGTCTGGTTTGTAATTTAAAAAATATTTTATTACATTTTTTTCCATTAAATTTAATTATTCAGTAAAAAATAACAATTTTACGTAAATATATTATCAAATATTATTATTATATACATTTTAAAGTTGGTAAATCTTTTTTCTCACTGAAAAATTAAAATAATAATAATAAATTAATTTCAATATATAGGAAATAAAAATAAAACTAATGAATGGACTTAAAATATTTTGTCGGTTTTTTATCTAAATAATCTTTAAGTACTAGAAGTATTTTTTTTTTCATAATTTTTATTTTTCCGGAATTTTTTTATAATCTTTATTTTTTTTCAGAATTTTAATTTTATTTGTTCAGAACTATTTTTAAAAATTTTTATTTTTTAGAATTTATCAAATTTATTTTTTGAATTTTAATTTTTATAGTTTTATTTGTTAGAAATTTTTATTTAGATGAAATTTATTTAAAAGCTTGTTTTCCATATTTTGAGTATTTTCATAATTTTTATTAAAAACACTCAAAACGCCAAAATGCATTTTGAGTTTTATGTTATAAATTTATCCTTGTTTTCAAAAATAATAGAACAAACATGTTTTCAGTATTTTGTAAAACTGAAAATTGAAAACGACTTGAAAACAGCAAATCAAACGCACCATTATTCTGTTTCTAAAGAAATATTACTCTAGTTCTAGAAATACGTCGGGCCCTTTTTTCACCGTGTTTACCATATAAATGATGATAGAGGTTCATTCAATTATAATTTTCTTGATAGAATGATAGAGTTGAGAAGCTTTTCACTTATTTGCGATGGCCGTGGCAATTGGGCAAGCACAGAGATGGCTATGACAACATCTAAAAATGTGGATGCACGATATAATTTTAGAGAAGTTGCAACAATAAGCTCAACAATAATCTACAAGAATTCCCACATTTTAGTCATCAAAACATACATAGTTCCTATTTGCTCTCATATTTAGCCAAGATAATTAGACCAGTATTCTTACTTTATCATGGAATTGGATATATAACAACCTTTCCAGTAGCTCGTCCTGTTTCCAAGTAAGAGAACGCTTCCTTAACCTGGTCGAAAGGAAACGGTCCCTTGGGATCGATAAGTGGTTTCACTTTACCACTCTCCAGGAACGGATTTAGTTTCTTCAATATTTCTCTATTGGAAGTCACAACAAACCTGAAGCCTGGTGGTGTGACTGCCCCAGTTAGAACTACAACACTGCCGCCTTCCTTCACTGCCTTAACTGCCCTATCACACTGTCCTGTTAATGTAAAAAAAGTCCCTTTATTGATTTTCAAACTACGATAAATTTTGAAGTCAAAAGATTATGCATTAAGAAAAAGTATACAAGTTCTTGTGCGCTATGCTCCCCTCATTCCACTCCGGCCTCGACCTATTTATTTTAGTATACATGTGTTCAACTCTATATGAGCCACATATACAACATCTTAAGTTGAGGACCAACTTCTTACAATCAACCATTTTTAGGACAAAAGTTAGTCTTCTTATTGTTTATTATGACAATTATGATAATTTTCTCAATCTTCTAGTTATTTCTAGACCATTTCCATTCACTATATTACTCATAAGACATTGCACTAAATTATTGCTATACCGGCTAAAGGAATTTACACTGCATTCATATCATTTTCTTACCTACTGAATCGTAAACTACGTCAAATTTCTCTGGTAGATCTTCAAAGTTCTCCTTGGTGTAGTCGATGGCCAAATCCGCACCCAAGCTTTTGAGGAAGTCCAGCTTTGGGGTGCTGGCAGTAGCAGCTATCTTTGAAGCACCAAACACGTGTTTTGCAAGCTGCATTGCCAAAATAGAACGTTAAATCTGTTTGTGTCATTTTTCTTTTTCTTTTCCTTTTTAAATTTGTTAACTAATAATAAGTGTATAACGATCTTTCATAATAAGAAAAATTAACTATTTAATGGTCAAATGGGCAGAATCAGTCAATAGGGACAATAAAGAGAATATAGAGTAGCTTACCTGTATAACCAGTGACCCAACACCACCAGCACCTCCCAAAATAAGGATGGATTTGCCGGAAGAAAATCCTGCCCTTTCAAGACCTTCATAGGCCGTCTCAATAGCGAGAGGGAGACCAGCAGCCTGTGCAAAATCAAGATTTTTGGGCTTCAAAGCCAGTAATTTCTCCTCAACCGCTGTGTACTCAGCTAATGAGCCAAACTGTTTAGGTCCATCCAATGTTTTCTCGTGTATGTCTCCATATACTTCATCTCCTTCTTTTAGTCCCTTTACTTGACTCCCAACTTTAACTACGATACCAGAAACATCATAGCCTGGCACCGTCTATGGAAAAAGACATACAAAATCAACAAAATGGCACTTGCATTTTGTAAAATGCTCTCAAATATCTACTAAATTAGCTGAAAAAACATGGATAATATGGCACGCAGTGGACAGGATCTGAGTATGATAGAAAATTTTAATTTCTTTTCGTTTTTAATATTGTCTACTATTAAGAATTTAAAGGCCAATATTTTTTAACACCTAAATATAGTACCACAGACGCATAATCAATTTTCCAGTTAGTCAAACAGAAATTGCACTTGAAAGAAAGCCAATCGCTCCAAATTTAACCTCGTTTCAGATTGTAATACAGTGTACACTATAAAATAATAAGAAAACAAAATCAGCAGATTTTAGTGATGCTTGTTGAAGATTAAACTTGAATAAATAAACAATAAATAAACACGAGCTTAAGCTTTTAAAAAAGGTGGTTGTGCTTGTTGGATGTAGGGTTAAAATCCCAAAAGTAATCAATTTTATTTAAGACTAAAAATGTCAAAAAAAAGGGAAAAAAGATTGGATCCTCCTACTCCCTAAAGGTAATGGGATTTTATTCTTAAATACCCTCCTAGTGAGCTTTGGTGGTCCACTAGTCACCAAGCTAGCGATCCTTCTTCCTCCCTTTTAGCCTTCTCCCTTATATCCCTTTAAATGCCCTCTTAGATTTCTTAGAGTGTCTCCAAGAGATTCTCTAAATACTATACTTTCTATCATAAAGAAACAGTATTTAAAAATTAGTTCTAATAGATTCCAAGTACTATACTTTCTTTTAGAGAAACAATGCTTTATATAAGCAACATATTTCAACATTCTATTTCTTAAATTATTCAAATCATATTTGAATTGATAGGTCATTGGCAAATCAAAAAATATATTAAATAAAAGATGATGAGAGACCTAATCTGTAGAGTATATAAATTTTTAACTAAATTTTGAGATGCTATGTATTATGCGTAAGACGCTATTTATAATTGGAAAGTCTTTTGAAAATACTCTTACCAATATGGAAAAATGCAATCTGGGAGAATATTCTCCAAGAAACTTTGGGTGCGGTTGATTTGCATTTTCGCTTTCTATTTTGAGGGATTATTTTTGAATTATAGAAAACATGTTTCGTTTGTTATTTTGAAAAACGTCAAATCAGAAAACTAGAAAATGGATTTGGTTTAAAATTTTTAGAAATTATTTTATGATATTTATTCAATTAATTTGATTATTTAGTAAAACATAATGATTTTAGGCTAATACATTACCTAATAATATATATTTTAAAATTGATGAATTTATTATCTTTTCTTGCTACAAAATAAAATAATAAATAATAAATGTTAAGAAATTGTTCTATGACATTTATTCAACTAATTTGATTATTTAGTAAAACATAATAATTTGAAGCTAATACATTACCATATAATATATATTTTAAATTTGGTGAATTTACAATTTTTTCTTGCTACAAAAATAAAATAATATATGTTAAGAAATTATTTTATGACATTTATTCAACTAATTTGATTATTTAGTAAAACTTAATTTTAAGTTAATATATTACCTAAGGATGTTAACGAGGCGAGTTGAGTAGGCTCGAACTCGGCTCGAGTAAAATGACCGAGCCGGACCGAGTTGACTCGAGCTTTCGGCTCGAGCCTTTTCGAGCTGAGCCGGACATGCTCTGTGTTTTGGTGTTTTTTCCCCCTTTTTTTTGTGTTGCTATAAACATGGGAGCAACCAGCTGCCTAAAATAAGCAGCAGCACACTGCCTTAAAAAAAAAAAATATAAAAAAATAAAAAAAAAAATATATATATATAGGCTTGTGAGCTTGAGCTTGCGAGCCACACGGTCTGGCTCGAGCATTGCTCGACACCCCAAAATGAGGCTCTGCCCGAGTTTCGAGTCTGGCGGGCTCAAACTTTTTTCGAGCCGAGCCACGAGCGGCCCAAGCTGATAAGTTTGATTGTCATCCTTAATATTACTAGATAATATATTTTTAAACTTGGTGAATTTACTATTTTAAAAGTACTACTTAGCATCCCTAGAAAAATAAATCGAAAAAAGCGTGTTTTGAGCATTTTTCGTGTTTTGGATTTTTTAACTGAAAATGCCCAAGCGAAAAAAAAAAATCATTTTACGTTTTCAGTTATAAATTTTTCATTGTTCTCGAAAATGAGTGTCTAAATGCGTTTTGGACGTTTTCGAAAACTAAAAATAGAAAACGGCAAAGGGAACTCCCCCCCTTAGCATCCTTTCCTTTTTCGGTAAAAACCCTAGATCCTCAAAAGGTGTGTACTCAAGTGACCTATTTGTAGCCTACAACTAGGACAAGACTAGATTGGGTCAATTACAATAAGTCCTTGTTTGAACTACATTCTTTAAAAATTACTCGGACTTTTTTCGGGCCGAGCCGAGTAGGCTCGTTTTCTCTCTTTTTTTCCCCCTAAACTACTGTCTTAAAAGGCAGCAGTTTGCAAAGCCCGTGTCCCCAAAATGGGGCTAGGCCCAAGCCTAGGCTCGGGTCTACCGAGTCCCAAGCTGAGCCAACTCAGGCTTTTCCCGACCTAAGTCACAGGCGGCCCGAGCTAACGAGCCCGATTACCATCTCTAATTATTTTTGGTGAAAATTCTGAAAACACTCAAAACACAGAAAACAAGTGTTTAAATAAAATTCTATAAATTATATTTTTAAAAGAATTAAAGAAATGATAAATTTTACAAAATACAAATAAAAGTTATGAAAAAATAAAATCTAATCTAAAATTCTTTAAAAAAATCTAGAAAATAAAAATTTTAAAAAAGAAAACTCTAAAATTTCTAGAAAAAGTAAAATTATAAAAATAAACAATAAAAATAGCTCAAGACGTTAATGGTTATTTATATAAAAATTCAAAAAATATTTAAATGACACAAATAAAAATATTCTTGGTCCACATAATTCATTTTTATTTTTATTTCTTACATTTTGAACTCAATTTATTATTTATTTTTATTTTACTTTTGTAGTGAAAAATCAAACTGTAAGATTTATCAACTCTACACGTTTTGAATACTAAATTTTTCCTAACAATAAATATTTTTTAGACTGTTCTTCCTATCAATAAATTTGGCAATAAAAAGTCTACTATACCAACTACCAATTTCAAGAAAGTCTACTAGCAATTAATTTTTGAAGATAAGGTCTTTCAAAAGATTTTTAGTATGTCTAAAAAGTTTGAAAAAAATTCTATAAAATTCTATACTAGTTTATATTATCTTTGCTACTAAAGTTCAATTGCTAAAAATGTCTAACTAGTTCTACTGAAATTTCTTTTATTATTTTCTCTTATAATCCTTGCTCGTTGTTGTTTTTCTTTTAAGATCTTTTATTAAGAAACTCCGACATTGAGAGATAGAGAGATCACTGATTTGTTTCTTGATCTGTAAAGAGGAGTCACCTCTATTTCTATCTAGAACAAATAAAATATGACTTTTAACTAGTTCTACTGAAATTTCTTTTATTATTTTCTCTTATAATCCTTGCTCGTTGTTGTTTTTCTTTTAAGATCTTTTATTAAGAAACTCCGACATTGAGAGATAGAGAGATCACTGATTTGTTTCTTGATCTGTAAAGAGGAGTCACCTCTATTTCTATCTAGAACAAATAAAATATGACTTCCTACAATAACTAATCTTCTTATTTCTTTGTATTCTACAAGTATTGATATATTCATTAAAACTTTCTAATGAACAAATAAGTAGGGCAGTGTAATCTAAAGGCATAAAATATTAGAACTTTTAAAACGATATGTTTGTAATGGTCTTTGAGTACTTTACTGTTTAGCAAATTAATTTCTTGAGACCCCCTTTTTTTAACTCTCTCTTAACTTTTTTCTTGACCTTTTGAAGAAGGCTTAAGACTGTAGCCAAAAATATTTTCATCATGTTTAAAAAAGTTTTAACAAACTCCTATTATTGGGACACAAATTAGCCAACTTAATTCAAATGATTACTTTATCTTTTGGCCATAAAATCCAGAATAAGGAGGCTAATAGCGTTAAAATTATATTTTTGAAACAGAAATAAAATATTATTTGTGAATAAATTAATTTCTTACTTGGTATTTCCCCTTTTAGGCCTTGCCCGAAAAATAACTAAGTAGCATTTCTCTATTTTTTAACCACAAATTTTCCAAAGATTACTATTACAACATCTATTCTCCCTAGAAAGGGGCTCAAAAAAATCTTAAATGCCCTTAGTGCAATCTTGTTATTTATTCTAGCAGATCAATTAAGTCTATTATCAATATTAGTATGGCGGACCCATGGGAGGGTCCTGGGGGGTCACTTGACCAGTTGACCCCCCAACTTTTGAGATTTTTATTTTTTATTTTTAGTTAAAGTCCTATTTAGTATCGATTGAAACATAAATTTTAATTTAAATCAAAGTAAACAATTAATTTTAATAAAATATTTCATGAATTTCTTAACTTTTTAACTTTTATCAAAATTTACTAAAAATCTTATTATAATCCTTATCAAACAAGGGCAAAATCACAACAAATTTGAATTTTCTCTCATTTCTCTTGCTGTATCTTACTCTTCATCACACCTTTTATCAAAACCTTAATCCTTCTAATTTTTTAAAATTTGTTTATAATTTCTCTACAAATTATCACATCTACTATAAATTTTCATTTTCCAATCAAAATTTCAATTACTTAGAAATTTGCATTTTCTCTTATCCTATTTGTGAATATAGGATGTGTCTAATTGATTACATAAAATTTAACTTATATTTAACGAATTATGTTTATTTGACTAATTATTAGTATTAAGTATTAGTTATATGTTTTCCTTTTGATTACTTGAATTGATTGTTTGTATCAAATACACAATTTTTTAACATAAATATGCATTTTCCTGTGTTGGCAAAATATAAATAAAATGACTGTTCAAAATCAAATAGATGAAAATGATGAGCAAAATATTAATAAAGAAATGTTTTTAAATGTAAATCTGCATTTTCTCGAGTTAAATATGAATCATTCAAAAATCAAAACAAAATATTCAATTTGTACAGAATTTGATTGTGTCCCCTAACTCAAATTGTCTGCATCCGCCCCTAAATATTAGAGCCGAGAGAGGAACCAAATTGTAATCACCAGACATAAGATCCAATAGACAATGTCTCCAAATTTGTCAACTTTTGACCAATTGAGACTCATCTTCAAATCCGTCTCATTCCAATAAAGGACCGAAATTGTACTCATGTCAAGTGACTATTATGAAAAAAACACAATTTGATACTAATCCTTCGACCATCTTACCGCTAGTAAACCTACGTTCGATTGTCAATATAATGGATTCGACAAAATGACTTATTTGCCCCTCCAATATGTGTAGTCATTCAAGTTCTATTTTCATAAGGTTAATCCATTTTGACTAATCATAACATAGATTCCAATGATCACATCATCGAAAAACTAAGCTTAGGATCGATTATCCACTAGAAAACATTTTAAGTTGATCGTCTCAAATATGGATTCTATCTTGCAAGTACATTATCCAAAATCATTTTATCGGATTTGCAAAATATTGAGATGGTCTTCTAAATAGTCCATGGCACCTCAAAGATTTTTAGCTCGCAATCATTACCCACTCAGGATTTAGGTCATTTGAACCGATAACCATGTAGAGTAGTATTCCTAATGTCATAAAAAGTCATCACAAGGTCACGTTCAGTGTACTCTAAAACACATCATTAATCTTATCTCCGAAGTCTAGACAAGGTCAAATAAGAACAATGAAATCTCATCATGATAAAGCATCACTTTACCTCCCAACTGTAAACAATAAGTTTTTGATCATGTTGCAAATTATGTCACAACATACTCGATCAATCAAGTATATAATTTGTAGCTTCTCTTGCGATCATGGGAGACATAAATTAACAAGTCAAATTAAATAAGCAAATAGTATTATTATTTTGAATGATGTCTGCATAAAAAAATACTCTAAGGGCATCAAACTAAAAGTATTAAGACTCCGAAATACTGAATAAATTTCAATGGG